ACACAGTTGAGATCCTAAGATTCATTTAATTTTATAAAGACACACCATTCACTTGGATTGCTTGTGAAATAAATAAATCTATAGTCATATTGTTAAATGGTTAATTTTTCCAAAGCTGAAATTGAACAATCTACTCTAAACTTGTTACAACATAGTCTAGTCCGCTCTTTATCCATCAATCAAACATTCTGAAGCTTTACCTTTTGACAACATGAAGAGGAAGAAGTTGTTTGTGAGCTAGGGTTAAAGTCATTTTAAGGACCATACAAAATGTGTTTAGATAAAAATAATAACTGGTGCTTAACTGAATAACTAACTACCAGATAGTAAATAATAATAATAATAATAATAATAATAAAACATTTAAAAAGAGAATAATTTCAATTTGAGGTCTTTGAAAAAGTAATCTTTCCCTCTCTAGGAACGAATGAATCCGAGACCTTCATCCTTGTGCAGATGACCAACAACCTTCAATAATGTGCACATTCTGTCAAACACAGTTCTTGTTTTAAAGAAGAATCAGAGATGGTCCAGTTTCGAAAAAAAGAATCAGAGATGGGTTTGAGTTAAATTTTGATTAGCAAGAAGACAAGGGAAAACTGTACTCAAGATGCAGACCATAGTATAAGCTCTAGCCTAAATGATGGTATAAACAGGGAGGTTGAGTGTTCGAGCGAGGTGAGGTGGGGGGGAATAATATACAGTAGGTGTGTATGCGCTTCAACGTTCAAAAAAAAAAAAAAAAATTCTTTTGAATCACATCTCAATTATATTCACTAAACAACAGTCAAGACAACTGCCATGGATGATCAAATCATACATAAACGATCGAATCTTCGGATACTCCGAAAATATTATAAGGTGTTCAGAAATGATCGAAGTAGTTGAATAGGAGGATCACTATGACTATAGCCCTTGGTAAATTTATCAAAGACGAAAATGATTTATTTGATATTATGGATGACTGGTTGCGGAGGGACCGTTTCATTTTTGTAAGTTGGTCCGGTCTATTACTCTTTCCTTGTACCTATTTTACTTTAAGGGGTTGGTTCACTGGTACAACCTTTGTAACTTCATGTATACCCATGGATTGGCCAGTTCCTATTTGGAAGGCTATACACACATACATACGTACTACCTCATGAATGCGCATATCCCTAACCCCCAACTAATTAACAGGTTGCTTGTTCGTACTGGTCGGTCACCTTCACCAATCCTCTCTTTCCAATAAAATGGAAAATATCAGGTTTCATTTTCTCATTATTCTCTCGCTGGTCACCCTCATGAATCCTAACCAATCCAATCCCTTCAATAAAATGGAAAACATTGGTACATTCAAACCACGTGAAGTCAAATTTATCAATGACGAAAATGATTTATTTGATATTATGGATGACTGGTTGCGGAGGGACCGTTTCATTTTTGTAAGTTGGTCCGGTCTATTACTCTTTCCTTGTACCTATTTTACTTTAAGGGGTTGGTTCACTGGTACAACCTTTGTAACTTCATGTATACCCATGGATTGGCCAGTTCCTATTTGGAAGGCTATACACACATACATACGTACTACCTCATGAATGCGCATATCCCTAACCCCCAACTAATTAACAGGTTGCTTGTTCGTACTGGTCGGTCACCTTCACCAATCCTCTCTTTCCAATAAAATGGAAAATATCAGGTTTCATTTTCTCATTATTCTCTCGCTGGTCACCCTCATGAATCCTAACCAATCCAATCCCTTCAATAAAATGGAAAACATTGGTACATTCAAACCACGTGAAGTCAAATTTATCAATGACGAAAATGATTTATTTGATATTATGGATGACTGGTTGCGGAGGGACCGTTTCATTTTTGTAAGTTGGTCCGGTCTATTACTCTTTCCTTGTACCTATTTTACTTTAAGGGGTTGGTTCACTGGTACAACCTTTGTAACTTCATGTATACCCATGGATTGGCCAGTTCCTATTTGGAAGGCTATACACACATACATACGTACTACCTCATGAATGCGCATATCCCTAACCCCCAACTAATTAACAGGTTGCTTGTTCGTACTGGTCGGTCACCTTCACCAATCCTCTCTTTCCAATAAAATGGAAAATATCAGGTTTCATTTTCTCATTATTCTCTCGCTGGTCACCCTCATGAATCCTAACCAATCCAATCCCTTCAATAAAATGGAAAACATTGGTACATTCAAACCACGTGAAGTCAAATTTATCAATGACGAAAATGATTTATTTGATATTATGGATGACTGGTTGCGGAGGGACCGTTTCATTTTTGTAAGTTGGTCCGGTCTATTACTCTTTCCTTGTACCTATTTTACTTTAAGGGGTTGGTTCACTGGTACAACCTTTGTAACTTCATGTATACCCATGGATTGGCCAGTTCCTATTTGGAAGGCTATATCAGGTTTCATTTTCTCATTATTCTCTCGCTGGTCACCCTCATGAATCCTAACCAATCCAATCCCTTCAATAAAATGGAAAACATTGGTACATTCAAACCACGTGAAGTCAAATTTATCAATGACGAAAATGATTTATTTGATATTATGGATGACTGGTTGCGGAGGGACCGTTTCATTTTTGTAAGTTGGTCCGGTCTATTACTCTTTCCTTGTACCTATTTTACTTTAAGGGGTTGGTTCACTGGTACAACCTTTGTAACTTCATGTATACCCATGGATTGGCCAGTTCCTATTTGGAAGGCTATACACACATACATACGTACTACCTCATGAATGCGCATATCCCTAACCCCCAACTAATTAACAGGTTGCTTGTTCGTACTGGTCGGTCACCTTCACCAATCCTCTCTTTCCAATAAAATGGAAAATATCAGGTTTCATTTTCTCACTATTCTCTCGCTGGTCACCCTCATGAATCCTAACCAATCCAATCCCTTCAATAAAATGGAAAACATTGGTACATTCAAACCACGTGAAGTCAAATTTTTGTTGCTACATTTATTGACCTCAAAACCCTTTAGCCCCACTAACGAGAAATGTTAATTTTGACGACCACTATTCACACGACTTTAACCGACATACACATGTCAAATCTAGATTGGTACAACGAAGCAGTCTTTCTTCACACAACTTTTCTCCCTCATCTCTTTATCTTTCTCTCTTCTCTCTCCTGCGCGTGGGCCTTCTTCGTACAACTGTTTGAGGGAGAAGATGGTGGTCGCGGATGTTCAGCCGGTTCAACAAAAAAAAAAAAAAAAAAAACATGTATGGTCGTGGGCCTTCTTCGTACAACTGTTCGTACAACTGTTTGCTACATTTATTGGCTTCACAATCCTCTCGAAAAGTACATTGAATATTGGTATGCAATAGTAGTGCCAGGTTGTTAATAACACCCATTCACATGCATGAGATTTGGGACTCAGACATGCCCCTCTAAGTAATCGAAACAACAGACTTTCACAATGAAAAGATTTATAGGAAGCTATGGAGAAAAAAAATTCATAACAAATTATAAGGGAGTTGATATTGGCATTTGTACATTTAACTCTCAACATTAAAATTTTTAAATTTAGTAATTGAAATAATTATTTTATCCTGTTCCTTTTTTTTTTTCTTTTCAAATAAGAATAATATTATCACGAGAGACCTCTCATAACAACATGTATGAGTTATTCTTATTTAACCACCGAATTAAGACAGTTTATTACAATTTGTGAAAAGTCAAATGAGCTTTTCAATGAATCTCTTCAAACATTGGTATAGGAGAACTTTTCAAATAAATCCTTTAAACTTCATTTAAGAGATGAAGGGTAAACTTTTCATTTCAGTTATTAAAATTAAAAGGTGGAGTGTTAATATCAGTTTCCAATCATAAACTCTCTTTGAAATAATTTTTTTCAAATAAGTGATCAGACAAAAAAAAATAATAATTGATTTAATTGATCTTTCACTTCCCTGATCAGTAAAAAAGAATGATTGATTATAAGAAAAATGAGACATTGATGAGCCGACAATATGGTTGATTCATAGCCTCAAAATTAGAACATCCCAACTACACTTCGATGAAAATTTAGTTAGTTGGTCCTTCAAAATCGATCTCAGACCACCCCCTAACAAATTTGATTGTGATATTTGTGATTGGGCCGCTCGAGTGAAGTTGATGGGATTATGTGATTGGGCCGCTCGAGTGAACTTGTTGGGACGTCTATATTGTGAACAAGGGAACATTAATTAGGGCATATTAACATGTCCGTACCTCATCTAAAATAATCTAACAGATTAGGATCCATTTGGCATGCGATGTGTTTTAGGCATTATGTTTTCAGTTAATACTAAAATACAATTGTTTTGTTGTAGAAGTATTTTGGATAGAAATCAAAATCATATTTGATAACCAAAATCTGTTTTGAAAAATTTGGATATTTGCTTTAATTCCCCTGCTACAATATCAAAATACACAATATCACCAATCTAGTGATATGAATTCGGACCAAAAAATATGATATGTTATAAACTATTCTAAACTAATATCAGTCTAAACATGATATTAGCTCAAATTTAAATATCAATATCTAAAAAATAATTTCATAATACATGGGCCCTTAATATGGAGTTGGTCCAGATTTCGAATTAAATTTTGTTTTTGTTTTCATCTATGGATTAAATAGGAACCCACCTGACACACACAAATAATAGATCACGTGAAATTTAGGAACAATTATTGGAGTTTATCACGTTAAAATCAGATTGGTTAGGCAATCAAGCATCTTTAAATCAGATTGGGGGTCATGAATTCCATTCTTGTCAACTAATGGCTAAAGAAACATAGTTGAGATCCTAAAATTCATTTAATTTTATAAAGACACTCCATTCATTTGGATTGCTTGTGAAATAAATAAATCTATAGTCATATTGTTAAATGGTTAATTTTTCAAAAGCTGAAATTGAACAATCTACTCTAAACTTGTTACAACATAGTCTAGTCCGCTCTTTATCCATCAATCAAACATTCTGAAGCTTTACCTTTTGACAACAAGAAGAGGAAGAAGTTGTTTGTGAGCTAGGGTTAGGGTCATTTTAAGGACCATACAAAATGTGTTTAGATAAAAAAATAATAATAATAATTGGTGCTTAACTGAATAACTAACTGCCAGATAGTAAATTAAATAAAACAAAAAATAAAAAACTTTTAAAAAGAGAATGACTTCAATTTGAGGTCTTTGAAAAAGTAATCTTTCCCTCTCTAGGAACGAGTGAATCCGAGACCTTCATCCTTGTGCAGATGACCAAGAACCTTCAATAATGTGCACATTCTGTCAAACACAGTTCTTGCTGTAAAGAAGAATCAGAGATGGTCCAATTTCGAAAAAAAGAATCAGAGATGGGTTTGAGTTAAAATTTGATTGGCAAGAAGACGAGGGAAAACTGTACTCAAGATGCAGACCATGGTATAAGCTCTAGCCTAAATGATGGTATAAACAGGAATGTTGTGTTTGAGCGAGGTGGGGTGGGGGCAATAATATAGAGTAGGTGTGTGTTTGCTTCAACGTTCAAACCAAAAAACAAAAAAAAAAAATCTTTTGAATCACATCTCAATAATATTTCACTAAACAACAGTCACCCCTCCCCAAAGTCCAAGGATAGAACCTCCTCCTCTGAAACATCCAACAACTCCTCAACTTCAATTTCTTTAGTCTCATAAACCTCTTTTTCATCACTGGTTTCCTCGTCCCTCAGCCTCTGCCTCTCCAATCTCTCTTCATCATGCAGTTGTTTCCACTCGTTGACCCACCTATCCCATTCATCTTTCAACATCTTCCGCTTCTCGCGATCCTGCTCACTCAATTGCATTGATACATCTTCATCATCTGCCTCATACTTCTTACTATACTTCTTCAGGTTCTTTGCAATCTCTTCCTCTTTCTCAGGGCTTAAGAAGGATGGTGGCCTCGGCCGCCATGAAAACTGTTACAACCACCAGGAAAAAAATAAAAACCCAATGCAAACTGTTTCCAAATCATAGATATTCACACAAAATATTTACTCAAAGATAACAATGTAAACATCAACGGTATAGAAATAGCTGTGGATTGTTGCTGAGTAGTTGCTGTAATGGCATTGTTAGTTTGGAAAAACTAGAAATTATTTAAATACCTACTAACCAATTAATTTACCACCAAAGAAAAAAGAATATTACAGAACTAGATATGATCTGACCTGAAAGAAATGATCCCTGAACATCCGATACAGTAGCTTGCCATTGAAAGACCATATATTGAACCCATTTTCCATCTCATGAACCGATGTAACTGAAGTGGCAACATACCTGCAAATGGATGCAATTATCAGAATAGAAAGATCCATTAATTTCTACAAATATCACAACTAAGTTTATACAAGATAAAAACAAATGATTCAGTATCTCTAATAGAGAACAGTCACGTTTAATAGAGGCTTGATCCGGTACTATGCTAATGCTACCTGAAATTCTCTCAAAATTACCTTCCAGTTGGATCCCATTCAATTTCTGTTGCCATGAAATGCTCAGTTGTTGCCATGGTCTCAAGCTCGTCAACATTGTAAAACTCCAACTGTCCATTAAAACCCTTCAACCCTGCCAGTATAATGAAGCGGCCAGCTGGTGACCAGTAGAGAGCATCTGCCTGTTTCCCTTCGAGAGTTGTGAGCTTTAAAACTCTGCCTGTGTTATGAGTGCTTTGCATCGAATAGAAGCTTATGTCGGGCCTTGGGCTATTGCCATGGATAACTGCAAATCTGTGGCCCTTTGGTTCCCAAGCAAATGCAATAATCTTGTCAGTTTTATTATCAAGCTCCAAGACTTCAATGGGTATGTCCCGTTCTTTGATTCTGAAGAGCTCAAAGCCAGTGTACGTGCTCTTTTTAGTCTTTGTGTATCGGTCAACCTTAACAGCAAGGTAGTCCCCATTGCTTTGCCAATGCATTTTGCAATCACTGACACTGAAGAGATTCTTCTGCCTCAACTCCTCCTTGCTTGGGATTTGAATAAGACTCACCTATGACATATGCAGAACATTATTCTAAATTTTAATTGACAAAAGAAAATTTAAGGCCTGTGCATCTGGAAAATTTGTACTCACCCTAGCAGGCTGATTCCCACCACCAACTTCAGGAACAAATAGTGCAACAATGGGATCGGTGGGAGACCAACTCAGATCCATCACATTCTCAATCTTAACGGATTTCTTGGAAAAAGTTTCCGTATCATAGACTGAAATATCATTTTTCCCAATTTCGGCAAAATACTTGTCTTTTTCACCACCCCATCTGGCCAATCAAAACTAACATATTCATGAGACAATAACCACAACAGTCTTTAAAGAGTTCACATGAATAAATAGTAATGAAAAGTTACCTGAAAACAGGCCAAGACACACCAGTAATAGCTCCAAATCCTCCAATTGCAAACTTGTCTGCATTTCCGTTGAACTCTCCCATGACTTTTCCAGTCCTCACGTCAAAAATATTTAGCACATCGCTCTGGATCATGAACTCAAATTAGAGTTGCCCAAGGCAACAAAATATGACAATAGAGTAATTGGCAAGATAATTTAAACCTCACATGAGATTCACGGGGATTGCTTGGTTTATGGCTACTGTAAGTCACCAAAAATCTCTCACCAGGTGAGAAATCAATTAATTTTACCTGCAGATAATACCACTAAACCTAAACATCAAATAAATAAATAAGTACTAAAAAAAAAAAAAGGAAAACTTAGACAGAGTAGCAAGAATAAAAGCAGAAATAACCTGGGGGTGTGCATATCGCATAAGGCAGTTGAAGGAAATGGCACCACCCCAAACGGCAACACCCTGCCTATGAACTGTGGCTAAGTAAGTCCCTAGAGGTGACCACTGCACAAAACTTTCAGTCCGAAACTACAAAGAGAAGATACATATTGTTACAATGATTGTCAATCATTATATCCATATAAAATCATTACAAGAATAAATAAACTAACTATATATAACAAACTGAGCATAGTGCGTGGTAACCACAATATCACTCTGCTCGATCATTAATCGGAGACACTCAGTACGGAAGTTGAGACACACACAAAAGACAGGGGAATCATAAAAATTTGCATTATTACATACAAGTTAAATTAGATAAGAAAAGGAAAGAACAATAGGGAGCATAAATAGGAGAAAAGAAAAAAGAAGTGTTAGAAGGTTTTATTCGTTTGGCTATAAAGAAATGAAGAAAGGATGAGAAGAAAATGATAGGCTAATCATGCCCTTGTATATTTTATGTAATCTGTAATCAAATGTTGTACTCCCCGAACCACCTCAAATCACTTCAACCTTTGTTGTTGATAGTTTTGTACACCCAAGGAGGAACCCTGTCCTCATCACTGAATTTCTTTTACTTCCTCTACTCAATAGGTTACCAAACCAAAAAGGCAAGATTTTTAAAATTTCCCTCTCTGAGCAACAGTAATGTTAATGAAATTTGCGGTCATGAACGAGAACTGAGAAGGGGGGGGGGTGGTGTTGGAGTCCACTCACAAAATGTTTGTCAACAGGTTCAGCCTTCAAATGCCTTGTGTCATTCCAAAAAACCTCCGTGTCTGAGCCAGAACAAATAACAAACTGGTCTCTAGCTTTTGCATCAGTAAGCCAGTGTTGCAGATTTTCCTGTACTTCAGTAAACATTTCAAATAATAATGGAGCATGCCTTAAACAGAAGCTGATCAACAGAGTAGAATATGGTTATAAAAAAAAAAAAAAAAGCCACAACAATCTCAAATTTAAGTAATATTACTGAATTAGGATTAAGATATGGAAAAGCATTGTTCATACATTTGAGATATCAAACGTTTCAAAGCCTATTTTCTACATGCTCTTTTAATCACCCTAGCATGTTCTAATAAAATTCTTATACCCCACTAACTCATTTCAAAACTGTTTATATTATAACAAATTGAGCATACAAAATAAGAAACTAATACCCAACAAAAAAATAGAAAAAAAAACCTACTACAAGATGCGGGAGAGGATACATCTATAAAATTATAAATTATGTTGTTAGCTAAGAGTATAATGAGGCTAAGAGATTTTGTCAAACTTTGTCAAGCTTTTCTCATTAATACATATATCTAAAGCTTTATGATCATTACACCAAAAAATTTCATCCTGATTTATAGAACCATTTCCATCTTTTTTCCGAGCATTTATCGTGCGGTGCATTCAGAATGAATTCTACATCTCATGAATAGCAATGTGCAAGGAAAATAATTTTTTTTTTTTTTGATAAGTTTTTAAAAAAAAATTTAAATGACCACGCAAGGAAAATAATTCAAAATTCAAATTCAAATCAAACGAGAAAGATTTATGCTAGACACTGAATTTAAATTGATTTTAACAAAAACATAGAACGTTCCAAGAACTACAATCTGATAAAGTGCAATCTATTTATACTAGGTGCTCACTGTTTAACTTTTCTCACAGGTAACACTTCTCAGGCTTATTTTGCTGTTGAGTTTCTGATAGGCAAGTCATGATCCAAAATTCTAAAACAGAAGCTCAATAATAAAGATAGGACATCATCAGGAAGTAACATACAAAGAAACACTATCTTGAATGCTTACCCTAGGAGTATATGGCGCTGTTTCAGGAAAGCCCCACTCATCTGGAACTTTTATGAACTTCTCAATATCGTCAAACGTGTTAGCAACAAGTATATGCTTTTTATCTAATCTGCGAAGATGTGTTTTCTCCCTAGCTACCTCAGCTTCCTACAACAGTGACCAAACATCACCATAATAAAAAAGTAAACAACAAAATTTATAAATAGAATATCCCCACATAGAAACAGAAACAATAAAACTATAGATCATAACTGCCATAATATAATCATAAAGCTGAGATCTAATGATGGAATGGAGTATAGCATTCAAATTGTAATTTATCAATATATTTCAACATTAAACCAAAAAAAAACATGTCTGGAAAAAGATCTTGTCTCAAGTTGTTTTACTACTGAAGTTTGACCGCCAACCAATTAGTACCGGCCAATCTGGCCCCTTCATTGCCCCCATGATAGAAACTATTATGCTCTGTTTGGTTGGAGGAATGGAAAAATGGATGGAAGGAGAGGGGAAGGGATGGATGAGGCATCCGTAGAGATGGAAAGGTGTCTCACTTTTTGTTTAGTTGGATGGAATGGAAAGTAAAAATGATGGATGGGACTTTTTTTTTTTTTTTGGTTGGAAGGAAGGGAATGAGGGTTTTTATATTCTTTTTACCAATATACCCTCATTATATAAAAATTAGATACCCATTTCAAATTTTTGAGAAGGTTAAAAATGGAAATTACATATTTGTGGAAATTATCCCTTCTCTCTTCCTCGGATAGAAAAATACAAAGGAGAGATGCTTCATCCCTCCTTGCTTCCTCCCTCTTTTCCCTTCCCTCCAACCAAACATAGCATTAATGTATGCCTCACTACTGAAATTCACCATCATAGACTACCCCTAAACACCTTGGATCAAACAAATTAGACCACCAAAATATTGAACTTCATTACTAGAAATATGAACTCATTATATACCAAGCTCGTATTCCTCTTAACTGAAGTAGAGAACTTAATTCAATTTAACAATCTCCTTCAACAGTAGAAGAGGTCGTCCACAGCAACCTTTTTTTTTTTTCTTTTATTCTTTTTTTTTCCCGAAAGGTCAAGCAATTCTATATAACATGTGCTAGCATCTGGTTCAACAACTCTTGGTGCACAACAAGCACCAGTTTAACTTGGGTGTGGTGATTTAATAGTGATTCTTTACTGTGATCTTGTTAATGTCGCGACAATCCTAATCCATGCACATGCAAAGCGACCTTTTTTGGCACCAAGACCCTTCACGAGATAGGGGTGAACCACAGAATTTAGTGAGCAGCGCTGAATATTTCTATGGATTGCTTCTTTCGCCGTAAAAGTGCCTATGGTACCAGTTCATATTTGGTCACCCAAAGCTCTACAATAGGGAACTCATTATATACCAAGCTCATATTCCTCTTAACTAACTGAACTAGAGAAAATTCAATTAAGCAATCTCGGTAGAAGAGGTCATCCACAGCAACCTTTCCTCTCTCCTCCTCTCCAGGCCCCCCCCCCCCCCCCCCCCTCCTCCCTCTTTTCAATATGTCAATAAATTCTATATACAGCAACTTGTAAAATGGAGATAACATTCCCAAAAAAGAATAAAATTCAGGTGCATAGATATATGTTTGTGGGTATGCATAGATCACAACATGTCATGAGTTGCACTATAACTGCAAGTACACTACAGGGACCCCAAATCACCCACTAAATATATATTCAATACGAGTCACAAACTATCAACCTTTTGCATACATTTAGAAAGGGGAAAAATGATACCTGAGGAGTGTTAAACTCAAGAAAGCAGAATCCTAGGGTTTTCTCGGTATTGGGATCAACAGGCATCCAAAGGCCATGATCTTTAATCACACCATATCGGCTGTAAATCTTGCGAATAACTCCTTCAAGCTTTTCGAATTTCTCTTTAGGTTCAATAGGTAAATTATCCACAACAATTATGTTACCGAACCCAGAATCAAATTCCAATGAATCCCTTTCGTTAAGATCTTCATCATCACTATTTATCACAAATTAAATTCTATAAGTGTTCAACCACAAGACAATGCATATAAATACACCAATGCGTGATTAGAGTTTTAGAGTTTTTTTTTTAGGTTTTACCTTCTGATGCCGAAGTCTTCTCTTAGAGGGAGGTGTATGGAATCCAAATTGATTTGCGAGAAATCAATTCCGCGGCTAGAGGCTGTTTCTTGGATTTCCTCCATGGACATCACCACCGTCATCGTTGTGCGCGTTTTGAATTGAGTGTGTATAGTGATTCTAGAGAGAGAAGATTGTGTTCCTACAAAGTACAGGAAACGTAGAGAGAGTGATGAGAAGAGAGACGTATTATGGTGGGAATAACTCGTGAAGGTTCAATACACTTCAAGGCTTCAACGGCTCAGATCATTATCTACCTTTTTCTTTTCTTTTTACTTCTCTTTTATTTTTTTATTTTTTTCCTCTCTCTCTTCCACTAATGCTACAAATAAAAATAAAAAAAATAAATTTCCCTGGCAAAACCACTAATGCTACAATTTTCATTTTTTTTTCCCCTGGCAAACGCAAAACCACTAATGCTACAATGAAACCCCCATCTTTTTTATTTTCTTTTTTTTGCCCTTTATCTCTTTTAATTTTTCTATATAAATATATTCTTTTTTGGAGTTTAGTGAAGTTTATTACAAAAGTAGCGAGTAAAAAGGTGAAATAATTATTAACGGTCTACGTTGCCCAATTTAATTTCTTTGAACCACACTTCAAATTTGAGAAATAATTTATCAATGAAGATAAAAGACCAAAATGTCAAAATACATAGAAAATTGAGCCAAAGTTACTTATGTACTATTCTTAAGAATATAGCGGCGTTAGCATGAATATATTTGGTAAATTTTTGAAGTATTGTTTTCGAATCGCACTCTTCATTTGAATGTAAGTATATTGTGGAGTCGATACACGTGTTTAAAGGTAAAATAAAATAAAATAAAATAATTTACTTATTTACCATGAAGGTTTATGATTTTTATATTTTTAATGCTACAAGTTATTTATATAAAATTAAATTAAAGTTAGATGATTTATTCTTGGTGAAGTGTAAAAAATCCTTCTATTATTAATATAGTACAAAACACGTACCCTATATTTGTGTGAAAAGACTTTAATACCAAAATAAAATAATGTTAAAAAAATCGGGCAATGTAAAATTACCATTTTAGACATTACCACCAATATGGTCCATGATCGTCACTATCGCCATACAACGCAGAGGGGACAGAACCTATCATCGGCGTTCTCCATCGGTTCCACGCTAACCCTCTACCGCCATCCACCTTTGCTTTCTTTCTCTCTCCACACATGCCAGTTGTGGAACTTGCAACTTGGGTTCTCTAAACAGATATGATATGGAATGAAACTTTGCCAAAGTGAGATATTGAAACTCTGTGTGTGCCGAACTATAACGATGTTGCTACTATGAGTTTCGGTTTGTTGCTCCTCGGAGCTTCGATTGTCAAACTGAGACTTCTTGGTTTGGGTCTCGGCTTGGTCTTAATAAAAAAATTGCTGGAGTTAGTGGGCAAGTGAACACAAATGGGATACACTCGCATATATTCAACTGAATTTGTAAACACACATGTGACACCCCCAACATTTTTCACGCATAAGTTGATCAGGTTTATACACGAAAAACGAGGGATATCAAAAACAATTGGCAATATACAAGCATAGAATACAAAATGATGATAAATAAAGAATTTAGACAGGAAAGGAACACTAAACAATACAACATCCATCCATCCTTTATTTAATACAGTACTCTATTACAACTTGGAAATCCTATGACAAGGATCCCTAAATATAAACCTGAGAGTTCAACGTCAAAAGTAAATAAAAACTGAAACTGAAGTAATAAATAAAACTTCTACCCTGAACTGGATCGTAAGAGTAGATGAGTTCGGATGGTGGTCCCTCACTGCTAACCTCAACCTTGGAACGGGTACTGACCGTATCCTGAAATAATAACAATGGTGGGTCAACCCCACGAGCAAGTCCTCTCTATTATGACCCAAATCAGAGAATCAAGTAAATTAATCATTATGAATCGGACGAGTATTATATCTGTATACATCCTCAGGGAACTATCCAATGTATAACATGACCTCAACCAGAATAGACGGTGATCACTTAGACTCACACGAGGTGGTTAAGTGTCGCATTTCCCTACCCGGGAAATCAGCTATTATACATGGTGCATGGTACTGACAACACAGACTATAACGAACTACACAGTGATAACACCTCTCAAAGTACTAATGAATATACTGAGCATATAAATTAGGCAACACATGCCAATAATATTACTAAACATACTGAGCATGTCAATTAGGCAACACATGCCAATAATATTAAACCACATACCCCGACAGCCACACATTTGTCTATAGCAACGAATGCATAAGGTATAAATGAGTCGAAACTTATTAGCCAACTCACATGGTTCTATAGGGCAACATATCCATATAAAATAAATGCGACATAATTAAAACAGTCCATTTATTCTCTGAAATGCATACAGCATAATAATCATGATTTATATATGATTAACAGTATAAACATCCCATAATATAACATGGATAATTTATATGACTAAAACCATGGCATTATTTAATTTCAAAGCAATGATTAATACCATTTAATACAATAATAACACCATCTATATTTAACAATGTCGTTAAATAAATCACATTAATATCCGTACTGTAAACGAGCCAATAAATGCTTAGAAAAGACTAATCGGCTATAAGAATAATTAACGGGTATTAAAATACTAATTTCGTGGCCCGTTAAACCTGTAAATACCAACCTAGTACCTAAAAATCCAAGTTTAAGGTTCTAGAATTTACAAAACAGGTCCTAGGGGTATTCTGGTAATTTCCAGCAGCTGACAGGGCCCCTCACTCGCCCCCACGTGCCGCCCTAAGCTTCCCCACGCGCAGCCCAACCTTCCCCACTCTCCCACGCGCCTCCACGCGCGTCTGGCATCAGCCACGCGCGCGCACGCGCTCCCACGCGCGTCTGGAGAGTTCCACGCTCGCGTTGATGGCTTCTTGCTGACGCGGCGTCCTCCGATTGGTTGGCTGCATCATCTTTCCTACATGCGCGCCACACCGGATCAATCCACCTAAGCTCCTTTCATCCTACGGCTAATGATTAGCGTGCACCATCATATGGTGTCCCGCGCTACATCGAATCAATCTAAGGATTCACAACCCATCTAACGGCTGCTGATCCATGCGCATGCTTGGTACAATACACCGCAACACACCAGATAACTCCGGTTACCTTCCTCACTGCCGGTGGCCGGAAAACTCGCCGGAGTCTCGCTGGAAACTGCAGAAAAGCCCCGGAAAAATCTAGAAAATTCTAGAAAAATCCCTAAAGCCTTATTTAATTATTTTCAGCCATTATTAATTTCATAGGATATTAAATAAATATATACCATCCTATATAATTAAAATTTCATTAATTTAATAAAACTAAAATTAATAATTTATTAACCTCATAACCTGGTCTCTATGCATGAGAATAAACTAAGCAATTAATTTATTAATTCAAAGGGGAAAAGTAGATAATAACTTGCCTTTTTGGATTTAAAATAAATCCGCCGGTTGCGCGTAGTCGGGTAAAATTGCCTACACCGGTACAGGCTCCTTTCTTTCTCTCTCTTCCTTTCACTCTTCAACAATTGCCCACTGTAATTCTTTCTTTTCTACTTAGGTGAGTTGCCTTAAGGGTAAGTTGGCTAACTAATATATATATACTAACTTATATAATATATATAATACAAATATCTAAATTTACATTTAATTCTCACCCATTCCTCACATTCCTACCTATAACCTTTAAGCCAAGCAAGCCAAGTCAAGCAAAATGTCCTAAGGTTCAACTATGGGAATGAAATCCTATCCTAAGATTTAATTTTTCATCATTACATTGATTTATTATTATTATTATTATTATTATACAATACAAAATAAATACTTTAATTAACTAATATTAATTAATCTAAAACATAACCAATATAATTTCTAAACTAATCATTATAATATATAGAACATAAAATCAATATTACATGCACAAATAAATAAAATTAATTAAATAATTTAACATATATAATTAAAAGGTGAATAAATCTACACATTAAAGAATTAATCTAACACAAAATTAATTTAAATAAACTCTTTAAAATTACGGGGCATTACATTCTCCCCCACTAATAAAGGAATTTCGTCCCCGAAATTCACTACATACCGGTATGAAAGAGCTCTGGATACTTGGCACGAATAATATCTGCCCGTTCCCAAGTAGACTCTGTCTCACTATGATGACTCCACTGTACACGTACTAATGGAATAGTCTTCGTGCGCAGTATCTGATTCCTACGATCGAGAATACAGTAAGGTTGTTCCAAATAGGTTGCATCGGGTTGCAACTCAATTTCACCCACATCAATGTGTTGATATCGATCTTCTTCCCGTAGAAATTTTCGCAGCATAGATACATGAAAAACATTATGTACCCTATGAAGATTATCTGGTAGAGCCAGACGATAAGCTACTGCCCCGATCCGATCTGTAATCATAAAAGGACCCACAAAACGAGGCGATAACTTACCCTTTGACCCAAACCGCATTACTCCCTTTATGGGAGAAACCTTAAGCAAAACCTGATCACCAACCTTAAACTCCAAAACACGAGTTCAACGGTCAGCATAACTTTTCTGTCTGCTTTGAGCTGTACGCATCCGATCCCTAATGATAGCGATCTTTTCTGACATGTCCTTAATAAATTCAGGACCCAAAAAGCTGTTCTCACCAACTCCAAGCCAACAGACAGGAGACCTACACGGTCTACCGTACAAAGCCTCAAATGGTGCCATACCAATAGTTTTCTGATAACTATTGTTATAAGCAAACTCTGAAAGTGGCAAATATTCCTCCCAATTGCCCTTAAAATCAAGAACACATGCCCGCAACATGTCTTCTAAAATCTGATTAACTCGCTCAGTCTGTCCATCTGTTTGAGGATGATAAGCAATGCTAAGATAAAGTTCTGTACCCAAAGTCTGCTGAAAGCTTCTCCAAAATCCTGATACAAACTTCGGATCTCTATCTGATACGATGGACAATGGTACGCCATGAAGTTTCACCATTTCTGCAATATAAAGCTTAGCATACTGTTCTGACGTAAAATTTGAACGAACAGGCAGAAAATGAGCGGACTTGGTCAATCTATCAACAATGACCCAAATAGAGTTGTGATTATGATGTGAAGTAGGTAATCCCTCTATGAAGTCCATGGAAATACTTTCCCATTTCCACTCTG